CATCACCATCACCACCATCACCACCATCATCACCATCATCACCATCAACACCATCAACACCATCACCACCATCACCACCATGACCATCATCACTATCACCATCATCACCACCATCACCATCATCACTATTATCACCATCAACACCATCACCACCATCACCACCATCACCATTACCACCATCACCATCACCACCATCACCATCATCACCACCATCACCATCATCACCATCATCACCATCACCATCATCACCATCATTATCACCACCATCATCACCACCACCATCACCACCATCATCACCATCACCACCATCACCACCATCATCATCACCACCATCACCACCATCACCACCATCACCACCATCATCACCATCATCACCATCAATACCATCACCACCATCACCATCACCACCATCACCATCATCACCACCATCACCATCATCATCACCATCATCACCATCAACATCATCATCACCATCATCACCATCACCACCATCACCACCATCATCACCATCACCACCATCACCACCATCATCACCATCACCACCATCACCACCATAATCATCACCACCATCATCACCATTACCACCATCACCACCATCATCACCATCACCACCATCACCACCATCACCACCATCATCACCATCACCACCATCATCACCATCACCACCATCATCACCATCGTCACCATCATCACTAATCACTACCAGCAGCAACACCACCATCATCATCACCATCATCACCATCACCACCATCATCACCATCATCATCACCATCATCACCATCACTCATCACTACCAGCGGCAAAACTATCATTATTACCATCATCATCAGTACCATCATCACCATCACCATCATCACCATCAGCAGCATCATAATCAACACGATCATAGCTACATTATATTATCAGTGGTGTAGTGACTACATTATCAGTGGCGTAGTAACTACATTATCAGTGGTGTAGTGACTACATTATCAGTGGTGTAGTAACTACATCATCAGTGACGTAGTAGCTATTTCATTAGTGACGTAGTAACTACATTATCAGTGGTGTAGTAACTACATAATCAGTGGTGTTGTAACTACATTATCATTGACTTAGTGACTACATAATCAGTGACGTAGTAACTACATCATCAGTGGTGTAGTAACTACATTATCAGTGGTGTAGTGACTACATAATCAGTGACGTAGTAACTACATCATTAGTGACGTAGTAACTACGTTATCAGTGGCGTAGTAACTACACAATCAGTGGTGTTGTAACTACATTATCATTGACGTAGTAACTACATCATCAGTGGTGTAGTAACTACATAATCAGGTGGTGTAGTAACTACATCATCAGTGACGTAGTAACTACATTATCAGTGACGTAGTAAGTACATAATCAGTGACGTAGTGACTACATCATCAGTGACGTAGCAACTTTGTCATATTTAGTTCGACAGGAGGAATCCGATGAGCTCAGCTCTTTGTCTCCTTTTAAGTCGACGTCTGATTGGTTCTCTCTCTGAGTCGTCTGCAAATGTTCAGATTAGTCTGCAATTCCACTGACCAGTCATTCTAATCTATACTCTCTATTGCATATTTGTGGGCGGATGTATTTATGGATGTGTGTGTGTGTGCATACAAGCACGTGTGCCGTGCCGGCCTTCATAGTTGCTCGCTAACAGCACTTGCCCCAAAAGTCTGTTACAGGCTATAGGAGTGGATATTTGTCTTGTGTGTCGTTCATGTCGATGTATATGTTTATTTCTTCGTATATCTGTACATGTCTATGTATATATCTATATATATGTGTGTATATGTGTGTCCATGTTGACCATGTATATGTGTGTATGTCTATGTATATGTGTGTCTATGTGTATGTGTGTCTATGTGTATGTGTATATGTGTGTGTCTCAGTCATGTTTTGCGGAGGGGTCAAATACTTATTTCCCTCATTAAAATGCATATCAATTCATAACATTTTTGACATGCGTTTTTCTGGATTTTTTTTGTTGTTATTCTGTCTCTCACTGTTCAAATAAACCTACCATTAAAATTATAGAGTGATCATTTCTTTGTCAGTGGGCAAACGTACAAAATCAGCAGGGGATCAAATACTTTTTTCCTTCACTGTATGTATATATGTGTCTGTATATATGTGTATATATGTGTATGTATATGAGTGTGTATATGAGTGTGTATATGTGTGTCTATGTATATATGAGTGTGTGTCTATGTATATGTGTGTCTATGTATATTTGAGTGTGCGTATATGAGTGTGTGTGTCTATGTATATATGTATATCTATATATGTCTATGTATATATGTATGTGTGTCTATGTATATATGTGTGTGTATATGTGAGCTTATGACCGGCTCCAGTTTAACAGCAGAGGTCTCACTCCGAATCAGTCGAGCGGCAATATCTTTTCATCGGTTGCGTAACGCTGTGTGGAAGCTACCTGGTCTGTCGCTCCGCACTAAGCTTCAGGTCTTCTCGGCCACGGTCATTCCCTCCCTTCTCTACGCTTGCGAAACTTGAACCCCCCTAATGGAACATCTTCGCCGGTTAGAAACATTTATGCTGGCCTGCCTACGATCCATCCTGGGTTTAACCAGGCTGGATTGTGTGAGGAGCTCACAATTCCTTGAAAGATCTGGGCACGGTCCAATCGGTGAGCTCCTCCGGCAGGCAAGGCTGCGTTGGCTGGGTCATGTAGCCCGCATGCCAAAACAGCTTTTGTTCGGCCGGATCGAGGGGGCTAAGCGGGCGCGGCACGGGCTAGAGAAGAGATGGAGTGACGTGGTACAGGCGGACGTGGAGCTGAGTGGACTTGCCGATGACTGGTACTAGCGGTGTCAAGATCGGCCTCTGTGGAGGAGGCTCGTGAAGGACGCTACTGGGCAGTTGGAGGCAGTCGCCCTCCAACAACAACGGAGGGCGGAGGAGCGACGCTCACAACAACGAGCGGAGCGCCGGTTGGCTAAAGCACAGCAGGTTGGCACAGTAGGGGGTACAGGTGGTGCATCAGCCAGTCATCTCAGTCAGTCGACCCGTGGCATCTGGGTCTGCCCCGTGACCTCCTGCCAGCGGGCGTTCGACACTTCACGTGGCCTCAAGGTACACATAGCCTGGCACAAGCGTCGTGGTGACGTCACCGCCACTTAGTGGCGAATGGCGGTTGTTGTTGTCTATGTATATATGAGTGTGTGTGTATATATGAGTGTGTGTGTGTCAATGCATATATGTATCTATATGTGTGCCAATGTATATATGTATGTGTGTATATGTCTATGTATATGTGTCTGTATATATGTATATATGTATATGAGAGTGTGTATATATGTGTATATATGTGTATGTGAATGTGTGTGTCTATGTATATCTGAGTGTGTATATATGCATATATGAGTGTGCATATATGTATGTATATGTGTATATATGTGTATATGTATATATGTGTATATATATGTGAGTGTGTGTATGTGAGGAGCGGTAATGTCGCAGTGAGCGCTACGAACCCGCCAGAGCTGAGTTCGATTCCCGCTCACGGCCACCACCACCGGCGACGATTTTCTGAACCGGTCCTGGGCCTCCCCTAGGTCGACTCAGCCCCAAATGAGTAGCTGTTGCGATGTGTAGTAAACATCGCCACTGGGGAGACAAAGGCGGCCGGGCGTGCGTGGTGCCGGCCACCCACCCCCTCGTGTTCCACGGTTCCGGCCTTTGTAGGTGCTGCGACTCGCTAGCGGCACTTGCCCCGACAGTCTGTTGCAGGCTACACGGCAGGGTTCTTTGTCTTTATCTTTGCATGTGGTGTTGATGCGACTGAGATCAGTCGATTTGTCGACTTGTGTGTGAGCAGCTAAGAATGTTTTAATGGACCAGGATAAACTACTTCTAGCTAACCAGGTGTCAGGCCAACTACGTGACTCTAAGCAGGTGGAGAACCCAACGAAGTGGCTTCATCATCATCATCATCACGTGAACATTTATAGCGGCAGTATAAGTTAAATGTGTGATGTCGATTTTAAATGTGGAGGGGAAAACCGGAGGACTCTGAGATTTTAAAACAATCCACGCCACCACGGTGAGAGGGAGAGAAGCAGACTCCAAATATACAGCAGCAGGAGTCTGGGTCGGGATTGAACCCACGACATCCTGCGTACTAGGCGAGGGAGTTAACATCTCATAGCCACGTCCTTAAGAGAGTTTCCTGAGAGTCTCATCAGCACGTGGAGACGCCCTGGGGCGTTCATGCGACTGCTCGTCAGGAGTTGTGCGAGATCACTGCTCTTGTAAAATGTGATGTGCGATTTTAGAAAGCTCAGAGTCGATGGGCTGAGAGTCAACAGCTGATCGTGTGATAACAATGCATGGTCATCGTGACGTACAATCAATGGCGTTAGATGAGCTGGCATGATTACGATCAATGATTACAGAATGTTGAATCGTTACGTGATTGCTGATTGCGACTCGAGATTCTTCTAACGCTCCGTGCGCGCCTTTACATTTCTGTCACAGAAACATCATCACACGACATCACCGCTCACCCATCACACGACATCATCACCACCACCATCACCACAACCACTGCTGGCATCATCACCATCATCACCACCACCACCACAAAAAAATCACCATTAGCATCCATTCCAAAACCATCATCTCCACCATCATCTCCACCATCATCATCATCTCCACCATCATCATCTCCACCATCATCATCATCTCCACCATCATCATCATCTCCACCATCATCATCATCATCATCTCCACCATCATCATCTCCACTATCATCATCTCCATCATCATCATCATCTCCACCATCATCTTCATCTCCACTAGCATCATCATCTCCACCACCATCATCATCATCTTCACCATCATCATCTCCACCATCATCATCATCTCCACTAGCATCATCATCTCCACCACCATCATCATCATCTCCACCATCATCATCTCCACTAGCATCATCATCTCCACCATCATCATCTCCACCATCATCATCATCATCCCCACCATCATCATCATCTCCACCACCATCATCATCATCTCCACTAGCATCATCCCGACCAAGATCACCATCATATAAAAAACAGAACACTAAACAATCATCGTGATCACATAAAGAATACTCTCATCCTATTACCACCACCATCACCACCACCACCCTCCAATCACTACCACCACCACCATCACCACCACCCCATCAGCACCACGACTACCATCCTATTCCCATTGCCACCACTACCCCCATCCTCCCATCACCACCATCACCACCACCACCACCACGACTACCATCGTCACCGCCATGAACGGCGTCTCCACGGTGGTGGAAGCGGCGGCGGCCTCGCAGCTCGACGAGGAGGTGAGACTCCGGGTAAGGGCAGGGGGCGGGCGGGGGGGGGGGGGGGGGTAACGAGGCGCAGCTCCTGCAAACGCCGTGCCTCGTGCCGCTGCTGGCGGATGAGCCTCTGTGCGGGCACTTTTGGGTTGCAGCAGCCACACTTTACCCCACCGCAGGGCGACTCACTCGAGCCGAACGACTGTCGGCGGAAACTTCATTTGAAGCTTTCGTGACTGCGGGAATTAATCTTTGGTTCTTTCGGTAAAGTCGCGAGGAAAGAAAATAAATTAAGTAATAGAGTACGACGTTTCGGTTACAACACAAGCAGTCGTCATCGGGTAGAACTACATTTGAGAGAGAGACGAAACACAGACACGGAGACACACAGACAGACACACAAGCAGACAGAGACAACACAGAGACACACAGAGAGACACACACAACATAGACACACAGACAGATACACAAGCAGAGAGAGAGACACAGAGACACACAGAGAGACACACACAACATAGACACACAGACAGACACACAAGCAGAGAGAGAGACACACACACAGAGAAGCACAAAGAGACACACACAACATAGACACAGGCAGACACACAAGCAGAGAGAGACAACACAGAGACACAGAGAGACACACAACATAGACACACAGACAGACACACAACATAGACACATAGACAGACACACAAGCAGAGAGAGACAACACAGAGACACAGAGAGAGACACACAACATAGACACACAGACAGACACACAGAGAGAGACACACAACATAGACACACAGACAGACACACAGAAAGAGACAACACAGAGACACACAGAGAGATACACAAGCAGAGAGAGACACACAGAGACACACAGAGAGAGACACAGACAGACACACAAGCAGAGAAAGACAACACAGAGACACACAGAGAGACACACAACATAGACACACAGGCAGACACACAAGCAGAGAGAGACAACACAGAGACACACACAGAGACACACAACATAGACACAGACAGACACACAAGCAGAGAGAGACACACAGAGAAACACAAAGAGAGAGACACACAACATAGACACACAGAGAGACACACACAACATAGACACAAAGCTGTACTGTATGTTGTGTGTACCGTATGTGTTGAACTTCTTTCGCACCGTACGTAGCCAACCTTCTGAAAAGGAGCTACGTAGCTCGGTGGGGCCTTACCTAGTAAAAATAATTAGTTTAGCTTTTGTATTCTAATGGTCTTAATAGTGGATATACTGTCTTTATAGGGGATATACTGTCTTTATAGGGGATATACTGTCTTTATAGGGGATATACTGTCGCTGTGGTGTACTGCTCCATATAATCATCTGTAGAGTGTATAGGCGGCATTACATACTGTGTGTGATAGTGTGTGTGTGTGAGATACTGTGGGTGTGTGATATACTGTGTGTGTGATATACTGTGTGTGTGATACACTGTGTGTGTGATATGCTGTGTGTGTGTGCCCTGGTGGTCCCCCTCTTTAAGAAGAGGGACCGCACAGACTGTAACAACTACAGGGGCATCTCACTCCTCAGTGTGCCGGTAAAGATCCTGGCAAGGATAATTCAACATCGCCTTGCCAGGCACGCTGAGGAGAGGCTTGCGGAGCCCCAATGCGGTTTCAGGAAAGGGCGGTCCTGCACAGATGCCATATTTTCTGTCCGTCTGCTACAGCAGAGGTGTAGGGAATTCCAACAAGACCTACATCTCTACTTTATTGACCTGGTCAAGGCCTATGATACCATCAGTAGGCCTGGGCTCTGGGTCGTTCTTCGTCGTTCTTCGTGCTTTTGGAGAACCTGACCCTCTGCTCACGATCATTAAGGTACTTCATGATGGTGAGCGGGCCCGGGTAAAACTACGTGGCCGGGAGTCAGAGCCATTCCCTGTACACCTTGGGGTGCGACAGGGATGTCCTCTGGCTCCCACATTATTTAACATCTATTTTGACCACGTAGTTCGTGAAGCCTTCAATAGCTGTACCGGGGGAATCTCCATATGGTACAGATATAATGGGAGGCTGATCGATGCCCGGGTGCGGTCAAGGGATGGTTCCCTATTGCTCAACCACGTTATGTATGCTGATGATTTGGTAATAGCTGCTCAGTCAGAGGAGGAGTTTGAGACGCTGCTGCTGAGACTGGAGCGTGCCACTAAGAGGTGGGGCCTTACCATCAGCCCCACCAAAACTAAGCACCTGCCTGGATATTTTGTACCATCGCACACTCCACCCCCACAACTCCCAATCGGTGATGGGGCAGTTGTGGAGAGAGTGGAGAGTTTCCCATACCTGGGCAGTGTGCTTATGACTGGCTCCAGTTTAACAGCAGAGGTCTCACTCCGAATCAGTCGAGCGGCAATATCTTTTCATCGGTTGCGTAACGCTGTGTGGAAGCTACCTGGTCTGTCGCTCAGCACTAAGCTTCAGGTCTTCTCGGCCACGGTCATTCCCTCCCTTCTCTACGCTTGCGAAACGTGGACCCCCCTAATGGAACATCTTCGCCGGTTAGAAACATTTAGGCTGGCCTGCCTACGATCCATTCTGGGTTTAACCAGACTGGATTGTCGGGTGGCTAAAGCACAGCAGTTTGGCACAGTAGGGGGCACAGGTGGTGCATCAGCCAGTCATCTCAGTCAGTCGACCCGTGGCACCTGGGTCTGCCCCGTGACCTCCTGCCAGCGGGCGTTCGACACTTCACGTGGCCTGAGGGTGCACATAGCCTGGCACAAGCGTCGTGGTGATGTCACCGCCACTTAGTGGCGAATGGCGGTTGTTGTTGTTGTGTGATAATCTGTGTGTGATATACTGTGTGTGATATGCTGAATGTGATATGCTGAATGTGATACACTGTGTGTGTGATACACTGTGTGTGATACACTGTGTGTGTGATACGCTGTGTGTGTGATACGCTGTGTGTGTGATACACTGTGTGTGTGATACTCTGTGTGTGTGATACACTGTGTGTGTGATACACTGTGTGTGATACACTGTGTGTGTGATACACTGTGTGTGTGATACGCTGTGTGTGTGATACGCTGTGTGTGTGATACACTGTGTGTGTGATACTCTGTGTGTGTGATACACTGTGTGTGTGATATGCTGTGTGTGTGATACACTGTGTGTGTGATACACTGTGTGTGTGATACACTGTGTGTGTGATATACTGTGTGTGTGATATACTGTGTGTGTGATACACTGTGTGTGTGATACGCTGTGTGTGATACACTGTGTGTGATATACTGTGTGTGTGATATGCTGTGTGTGTGATACGCTGTGTGTGTGATACACTGTGTGTGTGATACACTGTGTGTGTGATATACTGTGTGTGTGATATACTGTGTGTGTGATACACTGTGTGTGTGATACACTGTGTGTGTGATATGCTGTGTGTGTGATACGCTGTGTGTGTGATACACTGTGTGTGTGATACACTGTGTGTGTGATACACTGTGTGTGTGATATACTGTGTGTGTGATACACTGTGTGTGTGATACGCTGTGTGTGATACACTGTGTGTGATATACTGTGTGTGTGATATGCTGTGTGTGTGATACGCTGTGTGTGTGATACACTGTGTGTGTGATACACTGTGTGTGTGATATACTGTGTGTGTGATATACTGTGTGTGATACACTGTGTGTGTGATACACTGTGTGTGTGATATGCTGTGTGTGTGATACGCTGTGTGTGTGATACACTGTGTGTGTGATACACTGTGTGTGTGATATGCTGTGTGTGAGGCTAAGCGGCTCTTAGCCTGGGGGTGCACGCAGCCCCCTGGGGCGGAGCGAGATCCCCTTTCTGGGGAGGGGGGGGGGGTGCGAGACGTGGCCAGATGTGTTAGACGGTAAATCATCTAAACACGACTGTCGCACGGGCACGTGCGAGCAACTAACGTTGATTCAGCAGACCCCAAAGTGTCCATTCACACTGACCCTTGCAGCAAAGGGGATGGGCGGGGCGCTGTCGGTGACCGCTTTGTGACGTCTTCCACCACGTGGCTCCTCTTTGTTGCCATGGTTGCCAATCCCCCCCTCCCCCACCCCCGATCATGGCCAATGACGACGATAATGATGATATAAGTGCGTGTACAAGATAGTTTATACATATGGAGTATGTGTAAATGTATATATTATTACACTATTTATATACTGCATATATACTGAGTGTGTCAAAAAAATGTTAACACTTACACGGGACTATAGTTTCTAATGGAAAAAAAACGAATAATAGTGGACTGTAACGTGATAACAAACGTGATGTTAACAGCTTCAACAAGTTAAAGAGTCTCCACTTGCTCGCCATCATTGTCACCACGTGGCCTGGCATCTTCTCCAGGTGGTTTCCAGAGCCCGGAGGAGCCACATTCCTCGTGGTGTTGTTGCAAATTCTCCGAAGTGTTAACACTTTTTTGAAGCACCACCTTGTATATTGGAGTGTGTGAATGTATGTTGAGTGTGTGGGGAGCGGTTAGCGCTACGAACCCTGCAAAAACCCGAGTTCGATATCCGCTCACAGGGACTAACAGTGGCTGCGAAGATCTGAACCCATTCTGGGTCTTCCCCAGAGGTCAACTCGGCCTTAAACGAGCACCTGGTGCGATGTGCAAACATCAGCACCGGGGAGACAAAGGCGGCCGGGCGTGGTGCTCGCCACCCCCACCCCGTCATGTACAGTGCCAGCCATCGTCGGTGCTGCTTCTCGCTAACAGCACTTGCCCCAGCTGTCTGTTAAGGCTACACGGGTGATCTTTGTCTTTGCCAAATGGTAAGCGGTGGTGCAGTGGGGAGCGCATGGCGCGACCGACCTCAATTCGATTCCCGCTCCCGACCAACATCAGTGACGAATGTGTGAACTGGGTCCCCGAACGCGACAGCATCGGTGCGGCGTGCGCGGCTTGGAGCATCACCGGGGAGACAAAGGCGGCCGAGATTGGTTCTTGTTTGACGTTTCGGCCCCGCTTTAATAGGTGCTCGCAAACAGCACGTGACCCG